GGTGGATGGATGGATGGATGGATGTCTGGATGGATGGATGGATGGATAGATGGATGGATGGATGGATGGATGAGTGGAAGGATGGATGGATGGATGTCTGGGTAGATGGATGGATGGATGGATGTCTGGGTGGATGATTGGATGCTGGATGGAAAATGGATGAGTGTATGTGACACAAGTTCCATCCCAGAGATTCAAAATGGCTGGGACAGAAGGAAGAGTTCTCAGGGCTTTGGGCTTCCTGGGGATGACTGGGTAAAGAGGTGAAAGAGAAGACATTTGGGGGCACACTGCAAGCCCCTGTGGTCCCTGGACTCCCACATTCCCCATGGACATGTACACAATTCTCTCTCTTGCAAGAGGGGTGCCCATCCTGCCACCTGCAGAGTTGCCCTGTTCCTTCAGGCTGCTGGCCGACACCGGACCAGATCCTAGCAAACAGGATCTGGCCGCCAGATGTCAGCCACAACTAATGAGCCCAGTCTGCCGGTCACTAATTGGCTGAGGATCTGGGCGCCAGTGGCAGATGGAACCAGGGACAACGGGACAGCCAAGGCGGCCCCCAGCCCAGGGCTTGGGTGGCCTAGTCACATTGCACCAGGGAGTAGGAAGCAGAGGTGCCCAGCAGATCCAGGCTGCCCACTCCCGTCTAAATGGCTGGCAGTTTTCCAAGGCTGCCCGGGGTCTGTGCACCTCCCACCATGGGCTGGGGCTCCTTGAAGGGCGTGGGAGGTGGGGACCATGTGGGGGCTGGGGAGGGCTGCCGTTGGGCATGACTGCTGGACCAGAAATAAGAGCGAGCCTTCCCATGTAAGACGGAAACGAGTGCCCTCTAGAACAATCACGGTGGCGAGCCTTGCCCTGCGGAGGGAGATGCAGTTACAGCCAGTTCGCCCATAAACTTGTTCAAGCGATTTACGAGGCATGGCCTACCCGGGGTGGGGGCAGGGCAGCCTCCACGGGGCCAGCTTCTAACTGGAGTTTGAAGAGGGGTAACGTCCTTGTGTTCAGAGCAAATACAACCTTGCAGCAAATGCTCAGCTCCGTGGAGTGTCGCATCCACTGACATGGCAAGGGTGCTCGTGGGCACCGCTGTGGACACCTGCACAGGACACATGCTGTCCCTCCCAGACCTGCAGACCCAGGTGGTGGGAGGGGTGGGGGCGTTTCCATGATGGGCCTCGGACACAGGGAGGGGGCCGGGCTGCAGAGAAGGTTCCCAGGCACCTGAGCACCACGGGGTGGAATTTCTGCCCCCAGCCGGGAGCTTGAAACCAACACAATCTCACGTAGGCTGTGGCTCATAAACCCACTCGTTTTTCTCAGTGGCCACGTGGTGTCGCCCCCCTGCCCCCCGAGAGTATCCCACTTCTTGGCGGTCGGTCTTCTCCCCATGGGGTGGACACTTAACGATGGCAATGGAAAGAAGCTTCCACCTAGCCTGGGGCCAGGCTTCAGTAGCATGGCCGCCAATGACAGGTGGTGGGGATGGTGTGTTCCGTGAGCGTCCGGAGTTGTCGGCAGGGCTGAGAGGTGCCAGGCCCCCGACAAAGGGCAGCACGTCTCGCAGGCTCAGCAGGGAGACTGAAAGCATTTGGGAAAGGGGTCCTGGGAATGCTCGGATGGCTTTGCTTGGAGCCCCTGGCTGACGTCGGGCCTGCTTTCCCAGCTCTGTCCTTGAGGGTCTCAGCTTGTGTGGGGCTGGCAGGGGTCACAGAGGAAGGGAGAGCCGCCCAGGTTTGGCAACAGGTGGACGTGTCCCAGACCTAACTGGGGAGCGACCGGGAAGCTGGGCCTGGGGAGCTCAGGGAGGGGCCGGGGGGGGGTTCATGTGCTCGTGTGACCTGCGCATGGGTCAGAGGCAGCTGGCCTACGGGATGTGGCCATTGGTGGTTTTTGTGTGTTGTTGTAGCAACAGGGTGCCCAGTGGCCACAGGACACGTGCACCCCCACAGGTCCATCTAAGCTGGGCCTTGCCCTTGGTCTTTTTCTCCTTCTCTATCCCTCCTGCAAACATCAAATGCCTCTGCCAGCCCCGGCCCACGGGGACACACCCATGTGTCACGGATGTGCTTCGACCTGAAACTGATGTGCATTGTTACATCACCTCCCATGTGGGCCACTTTGGGGGCCAAAATTTAGAAACCCTGAGAGTGCATTCCTCCTGATTCAGCCTGGAGTGTTTGGCAACAACCAGAAAACTCTAGCAATGCTTAAGACCCCAAATCACAGGACTTTTGTGATGTAAGCAGGGAACCCCAAGACACAGCCTTCTGCTGACAGTCCGCCTAAATGTTGGAGCCCCCAAATCGCGGGGTCCCCCACAGGGGTAGTTGACAACTGTTGTGGGCTGTGCAAACTCTGTCAGGGGCCATCCCGCAGCATCAGCCCCATCCTGTGTGTGACTCAGTTTCCGCCTGGAGGTGTCCTTTGGGGAAAATGTCCAATGGGGCCAAGTTTTTATTGATTCTCACCCAGGGCTTAGCCCTGAGGGAGCCCATGAAGTCACATATCTGCCACTTGTCTCCACCACATGTACAGACCACACACGTACACCAGTGTCTACACCACACAGCTAACACTTACTGCTGTTTTATCTGGTGGCTTTAGAAGGGTCAGCAGGACATACACCGGTGGAGGAGGCGGGGGGTTCCGGAGGGGAGGTTGTTCTCTGGGGGAGCTCTCGGGATGCAGCTGGAGCTGGACCCGAGGGTGATTCTGGACATGCCGGGAGGGGAAGTGTCATCAGGTAAACACACATCCACCCTGCTGGGCTCAGGGCTGCAGGCACGGGTCCCCTGGGGGCTGCCAGCGCGTGGCCCTCGGCCTGGCCCCTTGGGCTGGCCCCGCAGCCTTGCCACGGTCCAGCCGTGCAGCCTGCCTCCACCTTGGCGACCTGGTCCTTTCTGAGCGAGCTTCAGTGCGTGTGGCCGACTGTGTGATGGTCCGCAGACACAGGAGTGCCCCACTCTGGGAACCTCAGACATCATCTTCAGAGGCCATGCTCCCAGCCCCACGGATCATTGCACGTTGCTCTGTGCCAATTGTTGCAGGCTGCGGACAGCAACGAGGGGCCCTGACCTCAAGCCAGAGCAGGGACGGGCCTGCCTGGAGGGACATCCCACAGGCCGAGAGAGTGTCGCTTCGCATCTGTTCTGTGGGACAGAGAGCCAGGGCTCGTGGGGTGAAGGGAAGACAAATCCCTGAGGGCTACCTGGAGGAGTCTACACATTCTGAGTGCCTGATGTGATGGCTGTGGGCACCGTTCCTCCAACCTGGACCTGTGCCTGGCCCTTGGCCCTCTCCTTAGCAGAGGGAAGTGTGTTTTTGTTGTCACCCCATGCACAGCAGACACCAGTCCTCTGGGGGCGGGGGGCAGGCTGGGCTGCTTCCCTGGGTTCCAAGGCTGGGTCTCGGTCCACAGGCCCATCAATAAGGCCTGTCGGTCTGGCCTGCCCTGGGCCATTTGGAGTCTCCCCAGGGAGGGAGTACCGGGGGCTCCGAGCCCCCATGCCCTCAGGGTCCTCTCATTGCTGGCTGAGGACAACTGTTGCCTGGGCTGGATTGTTACATGTGGGACCGTCATCCCTGAAAAGGCCGTGGCTGCCCGGGCTGCCTGAAAGCAGGGCAGATCTGCGGTGAGGATGGAGGGCCCTTGCGGACCAGCCTGCTAGCCCCACCTGGGAGTCGCCGCAGAGCCGTGGAATCCCGTGCCCTTAAAACTTCCAGAGGGGCCTCTTGCATCACAAAGTGGCCTGAGAGGGTTCCGTCTTTATTTTGGTGAAGCACAGAAGAGGATGCTGCAGACATGTTTAATCCACACGTATTAGATTCTCCAGCTGTGATTTTCGACAATGGCTCCGGGCTCTGCAAGGCGGGCCTCTCAGGAGAGATTGGGCCCCGCCATGTCATCAGCTCTGTCGTGGGGCACCCCAAGTTCAAGATGCCCTTGGCGGGAGCCAATCAGAAGAAGTACTTTGTGGGAGAAGAAGCTCTGCACAAGCATGAGGTCCTGCACCTGCGCTACCCCATCAAGCGGGGCCTGGTCACAGGCTGGGAAGACATGGAGAGACTCTGCAAGCACCTGTTCGAGTGGGAGCTGGGGGTGAAGGCCAGCGACCGGCCCGTGCTCATGACCGAGCCCTCCCTGAACCCCAGGGAGGCCCGAGAGAAGATGGCCGAGATGATGTTCGAGAACTTCAGTGTGCCTGCTTTCTACCTGTCAGACCAGGCTGTGCTGGCCCTCTACGCCTCAGCCTGCGTCACGGGCCTGGTGGTGGACAGCGGGGACGGGGTCACTTGCACTGTCCCCATCTTCGAAGGGTACTCCCTGCCCCATGCGGTCACCAAGCTCTATGTGGCGGGGAGGGACATCACAGAGCACCTCACGCAGCTGCTGCTGGCTAACGGGCGGTCCTTCCCGTGCATGCTGGACAAGGCCCTGGTGGACGACATCAAGGAGAAGCTGTGCTACGTGGCCCTGGAGCCAGAGAAGGAGCACTCCCGGAGGCCGGAGGAGGTCCTGAGAGAGTACAAGCTGCCAGACGGGAACATCATCTGCATCGGGGACCAGCTGCACCGGGCGCCGGAGGCCCTGTTCGCACCTGACCAGCTGGGCATCCAAAACCCGGGCCTCTCAAAAATGGTCTCCTGCAGCATTACCAAGTGTGATGCGGACATCCAGAAGACCCTTTACGGGGAGATTGTGCTGTCCGGGGGCACCACTCTGTTCCAGGGCCTCGACGACCGTCTTCTGAGAGAGTTGGAGCAACTGGCTTCCAAAGGGACCCCCATCAAGATCACGGCTCCCCCTGACAGGTGGTTCTCCACATGGATTGGTGCCTCCATCGTCACCTCCCTGAGCAGCTTCAAGCAGATGTGGGTCACCTCCGCAGATTTCAAGGAGTTTGGGACATCCGTGGTTCAGAGAAGGTGCTTCTGAGGGGCTGTGGGCAAGGGGTGGGCGTGGGCAGTGAGCTCGCCCCTCAGCATCAGCAGGGTGTTCAATAAAAGACAAAACAGCGTGCAACCTCTGGTTACGTCGGGCTGTTTATTCTAGGTGGCACCAGAGTCATTTCTGACCCCGGTGGTGAATCCCCTTTAAGTGGCTGTCCCCACCCCCCTTGTCCCGAGAAAGCCCTGGGTTAGGCGTTGAGGTTGTGTCTGTCTGCAGTTTGTCCCAAAGGCAGGGGCCTGAGCTTGATCCCGCAGGGCCTGGGCTCTCTGTTTTAGATGTGCGTCCTAGATGGTCTGGGACAGTCAGTCCTGGTCGGGGACAGGAACCAACAGGAATGGTGCCCTGTTCTGGGGGCCAACAGAGCCAGCTGGTGGGTCCTCGATACAGCAGGGCTTTTGCGGCTTTTACGAGGCCGGCAGCTCAAGCAGGATGAAGCCCGCATCCTGGGCAGACGGGGTTGGGCAGGAGCGGAAACTGTCATTGGTTTAGGACCCTCCATCAGGGTCCCCGCTCTGAGGGTCACGTGCGCATCAACACCCCCTACCAGGATTATGGTGATGTTTCTGCTTGCTTTTACTGCCAAAGATGTTGATAGCGTCGTTTGGGAGTGAAATCCTAGAGACAAAGTTAACAGCCATTAATAAAGTAATGGTTGAATAAATGATGTATTGAGGGAATTTTTCCACATTGATTTGGTGGAATTCTCCCAAAATAATATGGGGAGAGAAACAAAAGACAGAGAAGTCTTTATAAAAGGATCTCCCCATTGTTTCTGGTAAAGAAAACAGCGGCGCTTTCCCACGCCTCTCTCTGCACATTTCGTGTAAGTGAACATGTGGGTTTTTTGTAGGATTATAAGCACATGGAAAAGAGGAGAGGGTTAGACACTGCAGGTTGGTGGAGGCAGGAGGGAACGGGAAGCGGGGGGGAGAGTTTAAGGACAGGACTACACCCATCTATCTACACGTGTGCGTGTTCCTCTCCTTCTGTGGATGTCCTATTTGACGTGAGCACACAGTGTCCCTCAGACAGCAGGGAGTCGGGGCCTTTGTTGAGTCCGTGCGCCCGATCTCTGCCTTTCAGTCGGTGCGTTTGGGTGTTCTACATGGAAAGCAGTGTGTTCCATCTTGACTCCGCCACCGTGTTATTTTGTCTCCTGTTCCCTTTCTCTCCCCTTGAACGTTTCTTGGAACTCCATCTTGACTTATTAATGAGGATTTTCAGCAGATTGTATTGTGTTGATTTCTTGGCGACCGCCACAGGGGAGCATCACAATCGACTAGTCATGACGTTTTCCCACGTGGAGTGAAATGCAGAAAACTTACTTCTGTTTAGGTCCCTGTAGCCTCGCAAATTTTAAAATAGAATTGTCCTGTTGCTTCTACACACGTTTGAGAACAACCTCAGACGGTATTACGATTTTCCCTTCTGCCATCAAATGATTTAAGAGACTTGTTAGAATAGGTTATCCATATTTTTACCCAACCTGATGTTCTTTTGCCCTTCTGAGGTTCCAAGTCTCCCTCTATCATTTCCTTTCTGTTTAGAGAACTTCCTTTAGTCTTTCCTTAAGGGGAGTTTGCTAGTGACAAAATCTCTTCGTTTTCTGTCATATGAGGATGGCTTTCTTTCTCCTTCGTCCCTGAAGGATATTTTCTCTGGACACAGAATCCACAGTTAGCTGTTCCCTTTCAGCACCTGAGCAATGTTGTGAGTCCCTTCTCTGTGACCTCCGTGGCTGTGGGTCAGAGACTCCCAGTTATTCGATTGCTGCCCTTATTTCTCTCTGGCTGCTCTTGAGGGTTTTCATTGTCTGCAGTTCCCAGAAGCTTGATTATGATGTGTCTTGGTGTGGATTTCTATAGGTTTATCCTTTCGGGATTTAGGCAGCCTCTTGAATCTGTAGATTTATGTCTTTTGCCAAATTTGGGAATTTTGTGCTATTATTTCTTGTAATACATTTTTAAAAATATTTATTTATTTCAGAGAGAGAGAGAGAGTAGGGGGAGGGGCAGGGGAGGGAGAGGAAGATAAGCTCAAGCAGACAAGTGGATCCCAGTGTGAGCCTCTATCCCGGGACCCTGACATCATGACCTGAGCCGAAATCAAGAGTTGGACGCTTAACCAACTGAGCCACCCAGGTGCCCCTCTTGTAATACTTTTTAAAGTTCCACTCTTTTCTCTCCTTCCATGTCTCTGAGGATACAAAAGTCAGCAATCTTGTCATTGTCCCACAGGCCCCTGTGACTTTGCTCCTCATTTTTTGGTCTCTTTTCTGTGTTGTTCAGATTGGGTAAATTCCACCCGCCTGTCCTGAAATTCACCTGTTCTATCCCCTCCCACTGGGCCCCTCCAGGACATTTTTTATTTCAGTTATATTTTTCAGTTTGATAATTTGTTCTTTTTTTTTTTTGTAAATTCTAAAACTTTGCTGGGATTTTCCATTTTTGCATTTGTTTCGAGGGAATTCGTAATTGCTTGCTGCAACATTTTTGTGATGGCTGCTTTAAAACCACTGGCAGAGAACTCCAGCATCGGATTCATCTGCTGCAACAATCACGCCTGCTCATTGTCTTTTCTCATTCCGTCTATGATCTTCCTGGTTCTTGGTATGATGAGTGATTTTCTACTGTACTCTGGGGGCTTTGAATGTCCCGGGACTCTGGACACCATCTAATCTTTTTTGTAGTAGGCAGTCCCCCCGATGAGGTGTAGCATGAGGGCTGGATAGGTGGTGTGTTGAGTTTTCTGAGGGGCCCCACAGCCAACATCCCAGAAATGTGGGCACTGACTCACTGACTCACATGGCCTTGTGACAGACAGGTGGGGTGGAGGTTCAGCTCACCTCTGGATGCCATTGCCACCCTGGCGGGGGATTGGAGCCCCTGGAGGTGAGGAGTTGGGTGGGGTAAGGTGGGGCTGGGGTGGAGGAGTACCATTGAATCAATTCCCACTCTGCTTGCTGAAGCTGCGGAGGTGGCATGTGCTTTTTCCATTGGTGTTTGGCTGGAGTAGGGAGGATATTCTCCAAAAGTTTCGCTGTTTTTAGGTCATACTTTTCTCAGTGGGAACAGGCCTTCCCTGGAGCTTTTTTAGTCTGTGCCCATTAAGGATTCTGTGTTGGAGGCTTCACAGCACCTGCTGGGGACCATATGGAAGACAACAAGGAAGCTCAGGGCGCTCCCCACATCCCAAGGCCCCTTGCAGCCTCTTCTTCCCACCTTTCAGACACCCTGACATCTGCTCATCGTGTTACAACCAGGGCTCTTAGTTGTGAGAGGGAGGGTCTGGGAGGAATGGGGCTCCTGAGTGGGGTTTTTATCTCTTTCCATCATACCTAAAGTCACAGGGAACTTAAAGAGGACCACTGTTCCCCCCGCTCTCAACACCCTCCCTGTCAGGGTCACTGTTTTATAAGCGAGAATGTCAGGTTCAGAAGCTGTCACCTTCCAAAGCCATATAAGAAGTTGAGAGTAGTGCTCAGCCCAGATTCCAGGGCTCTTCCCCTTTGTGCACTCCTTCACTGCCCTTCTCTGCCCGACTGTTAACCTGTTACCAAACCACATCTCAAAATAACTGAAACAAAGCCCCTTTTCTCCTATTCAAGATGGCCTCTGCTACTACTGCTACTGCTACGTTGGTGATGATGATGGTGATGATGGTGGTGATAATGGTAATGATGATGATGATGATGACGGAGATGATGATGGTGATGATGGTGGTGATGATGGTGGTGATGATGATGATGATGGTGATGATGGTGGTGATGATGATGATAATGATGATGGTGGTGGTGATGATGGTGATGATGATGATGATGATGGTGATGGTGGTGATGATGGTGATGATGATGATGGTGGTGGTGGTGGTGGTGGTGGTGATGATGGTGATGATGGTGTTGATGGTGATG